TCCGTTCTTTTTCCGAGGTCCTGGGTCATCTTCGCTATCATTATTCTGAATTCTTTTTCTGGATGGTTGCCTATCTCCACTTTACTTAATTGTTTTTCTGGGGTTTTATTTTGTTCCTTCATCTGGTACATAGTCCTCTGCCTTTTCATTTTGTCTTTCTGTGAATGTGGTTTTTGTTCCACAGGCTGCAGGATTGTAGTTCTTCTTGCTTCTTCTGTCTGTCCTGTGGTCTGGTATTATTTCTTAATAATAAATTAAAATTTTACAGGTTAAAGTACCTGGGCTTGGTGTTTTCTTTGTGGAAGGTTCTTTTTGCAACTAAAAATTCAGTTTTTTAAAGGAAAAACTACAGACTAATATCCCTCATGAACATGGATGCAAAAATTCTTAACAAAATTTTAACAAATTAAATAGTTATCTAATTCTTGTTGAGTGAATTGTGGTAGTTTGGTAGTCTTTTGAGGAATTTATTTCATCTAACTTATAGAATTTATTGGCATAAAGTTATTCATAATATACCCTTCTTATTCTTTTAATATCTTTAGTGTCTCGATTTATGTCATTTGTCTCATTTTGTTTTTTATATATTTATTTATTTATTTATTCATCTATTTATTTTTGGCTGCATTGGGTCTTCGTTGCTACGCACGAGCTTTCTCTAGTTGCAGCAAGTGGGGGCTGCTCTTTTTTGCAGTGTGCAGGCTCCTCACTGCAGTGGCTTTCTTGTTGTGGAGCATGGGCTTTTAGGTGCCTGGGCTTCGGTAGTTGTGGCGCATGGGCTCAGTAGTTTTTGCTCACACGCTTTAGACTGCAGGCTCAGTAGTTGTGGCTCACGAGCTTAGTTGCTTCTTGACATGTGGGATCTTCCTGGTTCAGGGCTCGAACCTGTGGCCCCTGCATTGTCAGATGGATTCTTAACCACTGCGCCACCAGGGAAGTCTGTCTCATTCTTAACGTTAGTATTTTGTATCTTCCTTTTTTTTTTTCCCTGATTAGTCTGGCTAGAGGTTTATCAATGCAACTGGTCTTCTGAAAGAACTAGCTTTTCTCTATTATTTTTGTATTTCCTCTTTTATTAATTCCCTCTCTGATCTTTATTATTTCCTTTATTCTGTTTACTTCAGGTTTCATTTGCTCTTTCCTTTGTGGTTCTTAAGGTGGAAGTTGAATTCATGGATTTTAGGCCTCTCCTGTTTTGTAGGTGTTTAGTGGTATAGTGTTTAGTGTTATAAGTTTTCCTCTAAGTATTGCTTTAGGTGCATGTCATAAATTTGACATGTTTTTTTGTTTGTTTTCATTCAGTTAAAAATGTTTTCTAATTTCTTTTTTGATTTTTCTTTAAAGCCTGGATTTTTTTATATGTCTATTATTTAGTCTCCAAAAATTTGGATATTTTCATGATGTCTTTTTGTTGCTGATTCCTAATTTAATTCTCTTGTTATCAGAAAACATACTTTGTATTATTGAATCTTCTTAAATGTATTGAGACTTGTTTTATACCTCATACCATCATTTGTCTTGGTGTATGTTTTATGTTCACTTGAAAGGAATATATATTCTGTTCCTGTTGGGTAGAATGGCTATAAATGTCAATTAGGTCAAGTTGGTAGTAGATAGTATTGTATGTCATTAATGATTTTCTGTCTGTTTGTTCTGTCAATTACTGAGAGAATGCTGTTGAAATCTCTGACTATAATTGTGTCTTTGTTTCTTTTTGTAGTTCTGTTAGTTTTTGAAGCTCTGTTATGATGCACATATATGTTTAGGATTATTATGTCTTCTTGATGAATTGACTCCTTGTCATTATGAAATTACCCTTTTTATCCTTGATTATATTCTTTGCTCCAGAATCTACTCTGATTGCTATTAATACAAGTGCTCCAGGTTTCTTTTGATTAGTGTTAGTGTATTTATATATTTTTCCTGTCATTTACTTTTAACCTGTTTGTGTCCTTATATTTAAAATGGGGTTTTTGTAAGCGGCATCTATTAGGTCTTGCTTTTTTATCCATTCTGACAATATTTGCCTTATAGTGAGGATGTTCAGGCCACATAACTTTAATGTAATGATTAGTATGTTTAGGTTTGAGTTTAAATCTTTTATTGTGCTATTTTTTTTTCCTATTTGTCCCATCTGTTCTGCTACCTTTCTCCTGTTTTCTGCCTTCTTGTGGGTTGAGTGTCTTATGATTCCATTTAATTCTTTTTGTTGCCTTATCAGCTATAGTGTTTTTTTGTTTTTGTTATTTTAGCAAGTATTTTAGAGTTTGCAGTATGTATCTTTAATTTGTCATAGTTCATCTCAAGTAATATGATACCAGTTCTCACATAGTTTACGAATCAAACTACAGTGTACTTATGTTTCTCTCCTTCTGGCCTTTGTGCTATTGTTGTCATACATTTTGCTTATATATGTATTAGAAACCCCAGAAGAAATTACAGATATCCCCCACATTTTGAAAGTTCACTTTACACCACTTTGCTTTTATGAAAGACCTACATTAGTACCTGTTTTCACTAACTGAAAGAAATCGGAAGATGGTTTTCGCTTTTACAAAAAGGTGGAAAGCAAAAATAGCGTTTAGCGTTTGTTTTGCAGCAAGCTGTTATAGAGGCAGCGCACATCCTGAGCAGCAAGAGTGGCACCGCCAAGCTACTTCCCTGGGAACTACACTCAGCATCTCAGCATCAAGCCGCCATAGCTTTGAACTTTGTCTGTGAACATCTGTGTTTTATCTCAATTTATTTTGTGCATCCATTAGCAAGATGTATCCTAAGGTAATTGCTTCTTCACTTTATGCCATTTTGGCTTACAAAAGCTTTCATGGGAAATTTTGGACAGGAAGGGAAATCATGTATTACTTTTTCTTTCAGCCACTGATTATTTTTTAAAGTGATTTAAATAATAAATTTTATGTATTTACCCACATAGTAACCATTTCAGGTACTCCTCTTTCTTTTGTGTAGATCCAGCTTTCTGTCTGATGTCATTTTTCTTCTGCCTGAAGGACTTCTTTTAACATTTCTTGTAGTACAGTTCTGCTAGTGATGAATTCTTTCAGTTTTGTATGTCCAAAAAAAGCCTTCATTTTGCCTTCATTTTTAAAAGATGTTTTCATTAATACAGAGTTCTAATTTGATAGTTTTTCTTTCAGAACTTTAAAGATACTGTTTCACTGTCTTCTGGCTTGCTTATATTCTGATGAGAAATCTGTCATTCTTATCTCTGTTTCTCTGTATATAATGTATCTTTTTCTGACTGCTTTTTTTTTTTTTTTTCCAGTACACAGGCCTCTCACTGTTGTGGCCTTTCCCGTTGCGGAGCACAGGCTCCAGATGCACAGGCTCAGCGGCCATGGCTCACGGGCCCAGCCGCTCCACGGCATGTGGGATCTTCCTGGACTGGGGCATGAACCCGTGTCCCCTGCATCAGCAGGTGGACTCTCAACCACTGCGCCACAGCTGACTGCTTTTAAGATTTTCCCTCTATCACTGGTTTTAAGCATTTTGAGTATGCTGTGCCTTGGCACAATATTATTTATATTTCTTGTGCTTAGGGCTTGTTGATATTCTTGGGTCTGTGTGTTTGTATACAGTTTTCATCCAATTTGGAAAATTTTGTGCATTATTTCTTCAAATATATTTTTCTTTCCCTCTCTCTCCTCTTCTGAACTTCAGTTATATGTATACTAGGTGCTTGAGGTTGTTCCATGGCTCACTGATGATTTGTTCATTTAAAAATCTTTTTAGACTTTGTGTTTCATTTTGTATGGTTTCTGTTGCTCTGTCTTCAAGTTTACTAATTTTTTCTTGTAATGTCTAAACTGCTCTTCATTTCATCTGTGGATTTTTAAATCAAGATATTATAGATTTCATCTGTAGAGATTCAATTTGGATCTTTAAAATTTTTTTCATGTCTCTACTTAACATATTAAATCTTTCCTCTGGATTCTCAAGCATATGGAATATAGTCATAATAAGTGTTTTAGTATATTTGTCTATTAATGGTGTCATCTTTGTCATTTCTGGGTCACTTTTGATTGATTTTTCTCATATGGGTTGTATTTTCCTGCTAATTTGCATGTCTAATAATTTTTTTATCTGATGTCAGACATTGTAGATTTAACCTTATTGGGTACCAGATGTTTTCACATTCCTATACAAAGCTCCTCTGAATACTTATCCGATGACCTGTGAGTTATGAAGTTTTCCACCCTGGCTGGTGGGAACATGTGATATTTTTGTGAGCACTGGTAGCTTTAGTATTTTGGGGCAGTTATTTCTCTGTCTTCAGGTAGTCTTCCTCATAGGCATCTTTGGTGTTCTTGCTCTGTGCATTCTCTCCTCTCTGGTACTCTTTCCAGTGAACTCAACCTGTCTTGGCCTCCCCAGAGTTCCAGCTTTATCTCCTCAACTCAAGGAGACTGATGAACTTCACCTGGATTTACCCTGCCTGAGTTGCTACCTGGAAACTCTCTCCAGGCAACAGGTTGGGGGCAGTTGGCTGTTGGCAGTTGGCAGTGGGCTCATCTTATTTGCTTTTTGTCTTTCAGGGATCTTTATCTTGCATTGCCTTATATCCAGTGTCTTTAAAACCATTGCATCATATATTTTACACAGTATTTTAGTTGTTTTAGGTGGGAAGATTAAATCTGACCCTGGTTATTCTATTGTGGTACAAAGTGGAAGTCCCCTAGTTTATTATTACATAAACTTTTAAGAGTCTGAGCATTTTAAAAATTAATTTGTACAGAACTCAACATAGCTTTATTCCTTAATAGATTATGTTCCTGGTTCTAATATAGCACATGTATAAATATATTTTTTGTAGTGCAGTATTTTCAATGAAAATTTGAACACAGAGTTTAATAACAATATTATTTTTGTTTTGTTAAAATCATTTAAAAGTTCTGACAAGCATATTTAGTTTTTGGCAACTGAATTAAAGTTTAAATGTATTTTATACATATAAGTTATATATATATTTATTTATTTACTAGGTCTTCATCCTCCTGGTCCACCTTTAGCAAGACCTATTCTGCCCCGAGAACGAGGTGCTCTGGATAGAATTGTTGAATATTTAGTTGGTGATGGTCCACAGAACAGGTAATGTTTACTAGGGTGGTAGAAAAATGAAAATGAAGAAAAGTTTATTGGTTAGGGTATGTGTGTGTGCACATGCACTAGATGTTCTACAACTTTGTGGTTCTTGTTTCCTGATTTTAGAATGTAATGGAGTATTTTATAGCCCTGCAAAAGAGTACATATTCAGTTATTTTTCAGTAGTAGCTTAAAGTATCTAGATAAAACATTTAAAAATGTATTATATAGAACAGAAAAAATATTGTAACTCTGCTATGTTATAACCATACTGTAAGGTAATTTTTAGAGAAATTGAATCATTTCATTGACTCTTTTGAACTTGAAGAGCATGTAAATAGTGAAAAGTTGGTAGGTTGTAAGAAATGGAGTTTTATAAATGTGAGTACTGGACTTGATGGTGATAATTTTAATAACAGTGAGGATAATTTCATGTATTTGGCACTTACAGTTCCAAAATCCTTTCCCAGTTATTATCTTAATTGATCCTTATAATAACTCTAGGATTATAGGTATGATGTGAGCAGAGCAATTGTCATAGTATAGACTTTTAAGTAATTCTTAGGATATTCTTAGAGTAGATATTTGACAAGGTTATTGGTTAATATTATTGTTTTAATAAAGGGACTAGAATTTAATTTTAATGTAAAAAATTATGTTATTCAAAACAGATAGAATGTTGTTTGATAGGGCCAAGTATTTGTTGAGTACATATGCAGAGAACAGAAAGATTACATAAGTAGAAAATGCAGAAGATGTTTAAGTGTAACTGGGATAGATAAAGGAATCATGATGTATAGAAATTAACCTTTGGACTGGACTAAACAAAATTAAATTAATTTCTTTACTACAAGACATCTCAGAGGCTTTAATAATACTCACTGTGAATCTCTAAGAGGTTTCATCTTTTCCAGTCTTAATCTGACCACAGATTTGGGGTCTGTCATCCCCAGGAATATATGTTAGAAAACATGAAAATTTAAGTGTTCTGTTATCAAATATGTTTCTGCTTACTTAGTAAGAATATTTTCATTTGAGTGTTTCTTAGTTTATTTTTAATTTGATGTATAAATTATATTTTAAAATAGTTGAAATTTTGACTGTTAGCATGTTTAAAGAGTATTGTTTATTGTTTTATAAGTAATATCTAATCTACTATGACATGTTTAGCTATATTAAATGCTATGTACTGTGTACTTTAGCTGTGATGGCTAAAGTAGCCTCTCCCATGGGTTTTATCTGCATTTGTAACTTTTCTATTCATTTTTCCTTTTGGTGTAGGTATGCCCTTATATGTCAGCAGTGTTTTTCTCACAATGGCATGGCTTTGAAAGAAGAATTTGAATACATTGGTAAGAATTATTTGGCAGTTAGATTTAAATGTTTTAAATATTTCATTCTATGCCAATTCCCATGTAATGCCATTTTATTTTAGGTACTATTCTTTATATGTTGTTCAGGCATATTGTAGAACACAGAGCAAAGTAGGAAAGACAACTCGGGTTTTTTTCTTCATACAGTATACAGTTGTTCTCTTTTTTTTTTGCCATGCGGTACAGCATGTGAGATCTTAGTTCCCCGACCAGGGATCGAACCCACTTCCCCTGCACTGGAAGCACGGAGTCTTAACTACTGGACTGTCAGGGGAGTCCCTAGGCCAGTTGTTCTTAAACTTCACTGTGCATCAGAATCACATGAAGAGCTTTTAAAACTTGTGATGCCCAGGTCCCACCTACAAATAATCTGCTTTAATTGATCTGGGGTGGGGTCCAGGAATCAGCATTTTTTAAAGCTCCTCAGAATATTTTTATGTGCAGCTACTAGTACTTAAAAATATTGAACTAAATTAATTATGCTTCTCAAATATGACATACTACATTTTTTGGGTCAAGTGAGCAAAATTCTGGATTTTAAGATACCTAATGATTCCGGTGACTAGAAATGTAATTTCTGTAACACATTTAGATCATTATTAATATTGTTTTGCTATTAGTTAACCTGCTATGTAATTTATTATCTTTTCTGCTTTAAATTGATATTATAATTTTAATAATTAGAAAGTATGCTTTAAAATAAACTTTGGTTAGAACACCTGCCATAATATTATTAAAACCACGAGTAATTTCACAAGGGCTAAGTAACTTTTGAAGGTTTCTTTGACTGCTTGTAAAAGTAATCTTGAGAGTTACTTGATTAGTCCTTAAAATTTCTTTGGTTTTATTTGTTTTGTTTTGTTTTTTTAAATTCTCTGCAGCTTTTCGTTGTGCCTACTGTTTTTTCTTGAATCCTGCAAGAAAAACCAGACCCCAGGCTCCAAGACTTCCAGAGTTTAGTTTTGAGAAGGGGCAGACTTTGGAAGGCTCAAGCACAGTTGGTTCCTTGCCCTCAGGAAGTGTGATTTCATCAGAGAACCAGATCAGTGAAGGTATGAATATGTTAATTAAAAAGTTTTGTCTCTTAATAATGTTTTAGACAAGAATGGATCAGATTTTGCAGCATGAGTATATCAGCTGTTGTTCTGATACTGTGGCCTCCTGTGCAACTGGTATGATGTGTTTCAGTTTTTTTTGTTTTTTTTGCTTTTTTTTTGTGGTATGCGGGTCTCTCACTGTTGTGGCCTCTCCCGTTACGGAACACAGGCTCCAGATGCACAGGTTCAGCGGCCATGGCTCACGGGCCCAGCCGCTTCACGGCATGTGGGATCTTCCCAGACCGGGGCACGAACCCGTGTCCCCTGCATCGGCAGGCGGACTCTCAACCACTGCGCCACCAGGGAAGCCCCAGACAACCTTATTTTAGAGAAATTGAAGTTATCAGGATTCATTGAGTTTTAGAACTTATCTTTTAATTCTGTTTTAGGAATTCTTGAGGAAGTTTCATGAAAAAATGGAAAAGATGAGATGGAAGATCTGACTATTAATGGCCAGCTATTTCTTGTTTTTAATATTGGGTGAGGAGCTGCTTGTTAAGCAGCTCTGAATTATGAAGATTGCTAAAATTATGACAAAGGCCCTGATATTTTGGTGCTTTACCGGGTACAGAAAAAAAAAAATCCATTTGGGAAGTTTAGTTCACATAGTTTAAGTAGTAGTCAGTATGCATCTTTTTAACTTCTTGAAATTATCAGTTACATATATTTGATTTCTTTATAAAATCACTGAGTAGTAGAAAAAGTACTTGAACTGAGAATAATATATGAGGCAGTGAATTTTCATATATCTAAAGTTTAGTATGAAACTTTGAGTATCTTTTTTTTTTTTTAACTTCGAAGAATGGACCTAAAATATGTGTGTTGACTTGGGCTTGGCTTTTGGCTTACTAACAAATATCAAAATGAATTTGAATACAGATAGCCATGACAAGAGGCCTGTGTACTTCCAACACTGAATCAGTGCATTCGTCTTCTCCAAGTCTGCAACATCGACTCCAAACACAATATCAGATTTTTTCTTTTGCTTAAGTCATGCTCTGAGCTGCATGCTGTCACATGCAAATCATCTGCCTTGCCATTGCAAGCCTCTTGGAACTGAAAATTAAAGAATTCCGTACTGAGGATGCCTAGAGGAAAAATTGGATTACTTTCCATGAGTAACCTTGCTTATGAAAGCTAAAGTGAATATTTGAAAGCCAATAGTTGGGACAAAAGAAAAGTAAAAACAGCCAACAAAATAGATATCTTGATAATGAGTCCCATACTTTATATCTTCTGCTAAGGTCAAGATGCACAGTTAGCAAAACAACACCCAGCTATACCTTTCCTTCTCATCTAATCTAGGAGGAACAATACCCCAGATGTCTCATTTTCTGTCAGAAATCTCTGGAATGAAGTCTAACTGGCTCAGAGTCAACCCTAATAAGGTAACGTTAATAGGTGAAGACATTGAGGCAGGGTCTGACAGTTCCACAGTGCTAGAAACTGAAGAGATTCCATTTGGTTAAGATAGTCTGTAGAGTAGTAACTTCTTCATTCTTCTGTTTGGATTCATCAAAATGGCTATTATGAGCACCTTTTTACTTCTTTGCCTTTCCAGAAGACTGAAAATTTTTTCGAAGACTCCTGTCTCAACATTGTTGATACACAGTTATCAATTCCAAGCTGGATTCTATTAGTAAACGACAGGAAGTATTTCTGATGAATGGATGAAGCTGCATTCATTTGAATGCTGGTAGCATACCTTTATGATTAAATTGAATTATGAAGTAAGGAGAATATCATCTCAATCAGCTACTCTCTCTGCTGACAGCCAATGTGATTAAGTGCTTAGATTGCTGATTTCTACACTTTTGACATAGAAACTTGAGGTCTGAAAGAAAAACTTTCCTGTTTTAATATTTACATATTTTTAAAGTATTGAAATAGCTCCTTGAAATTGCATTACCAAATTTACAGATGGAACCAAAAGGTAGCTTTCTTCCATCTGAATTTTTTTTCAAAAAATATTCCACAACCATTTATATAAATCTAGAGTTAATAGAAGAAACCTTTTTTTTTTTCAATTTATGATGCAAGACTTTGAAATTAAGTTTTGTCTTGATCCTGCTACTGGAAGATTTTGCATTCAGGATGAGGCACAAGGCTTTTGAAATTTTTGGACCACTCTTTAGAACAACATATGAAACCTTGGAAAGTTTTCATCAAAGAAGGAGACCTAGAAGAAATTCCTCCCATTAATTGCTCATTTGAATTCCTAGTATTTTTTCTAGAACTGTGTATACAGATGCTTTGGTAATAGACTATTAGAGAAGGCAAGATATTAGGATTGTCATTTTATCTAAAAGCATACTAGATATGGTATGCCAAACTAATGAACTGGGTTTTGGTTCCTCGGTTTCTTTTACTGTGAAATGAATAGTACAGTAATATTTGAGTCTCTGCTAAGCCATGTTAAAGTGGGTTTATCAGTTTTGCTTTTTTTAAAAGTGTATTTTCCAAAATAACTGATACATAGCATTCTTTTTGTTAGATATGGTAATAATTAGACTACAAGGTTTCTACACTGTTAGTATTTTAGTAAAGTGATTTGGAGTTAGCATGTTTGAAAAATGTTAATATCGTTTTCATTGTTCAGTTATATTTGGCTAGATCTTATGTAATTATTTTAGTAGAATATAGCTTTTATTCAACTGGAAATAACTTGTTAATAATAAAACGCATGGCATCTATCAGTATTATCAAAAATAGTAATTAAAATTTATATAAGGTGAAATTTATCTTGATAATCTGATTTCTGCTCTTCCTTTCTTTTAAGCAATATACTGTTACCTAGGTTATGTTGAACTAGGGAAAATTCTATTTTTAGTATTGCTTATTATGATGCTCTAGGAAATTGAACTATTTGATAATATAAATTTTATTGAATTCTGTGTGTTTATCAGATCAAAAAAACTTATACCTTTATTTATATTTAGCTATGCATAGCTTACTCAAGATGTAAACTTGCCTGTAGTATGGTTTTCCATGTTTGTTTTAGACATATAGATCTTTTAGCCTTTTGATTCCCTTTTCTAAAACACCTTCACCTAATAGTTTTACATTATTACTTAATGATGACATTCTAAAGTCTCATCTAATGGGTTTGTTCACCAATGGTAAATAATTACACAACATTCTGTGTGTTAAAGATAAGCTGTTTTTTCATAGGTGGTTATCATTTATTTGAATTTTGTTCGTTGAACCGTTGAATTGAGTTTGGGGATGAAATTCATGTCTTTGATCCTTAAATATAAGTTGGCCATTTTTCTTAAGGCAGAAAAATCTTGCAAAAACTGTTTGTTTAAAATCTGTGAGTTCAAAGACAAATTGTCCATCTTAATTTAACAAATTTCCTTTGGGTAAGTTTTATAGTCTTTGCATATAGTAGGTACTGAGGTGTTAGCAAGGCAAAAAAAATTTTTAAGTTATTGTAAAAAGGAATAAGAAGTAAGAATCTAAATCACTAAAATATGAGGGGTTTTGGAAGGCATAATCTAAATAGAATCATGTATTTTGCTGTGGAAGTTATGTATTTCTTTTGGAGATACATGAAATTGTTTTGCTAGACCATTCTTTAATTTTCTTAGAAAGTTATTCTTTTAAGAGCTAGAGTAAAAACTTAAAGGTAAGGTGATCTTCTTAGATGTTTTTGCATGTGTGTGGTTTACAGGTGAGGCAGTGGGCCTCACTGTACAGTTACACTCAGTTTTACGAGTTTGAGCTCTGTCTAGCTGAACTGAAGCTTTGCCCAGACAAGTGGAAGCCAGTTGTTACAATTTTGTGGAAAAAGCTTCTCTCTCAAGGATATTGGGGTGGGAGTCGGGCAGGGGTAGGAGTCACGTAAGGAGCAAATCCCTTGGGTAATTTTTGTTTTATCACATTGTGATCTGTTGTTTTCTTGGTATTACAGATATCAAAGGTGATTTTTAAAATTTTCTTACAGATAGAATTAGGTCATTCATGTAACTTGCATCAATTTTAGTCTTAAACTGGTGCTGCACAGGGAGAGAGTAGGCCTGTTTTATTAGTGTGAACATAAAAGCTGGTTTCTCTTTTGGTATTTTATGCCCAAATATTGACATATACTGTAATGTATTTTATACCACCAAGCTATTTTAAACTTCACAGAAAAAATTCACTGTTTTTATTAGAATAGGCAAATGATACCCCCCCACACACAGAAATAAAGTAAGTACTTTTGGAATATATTTAATAAACTTGTTATAAAGCTCTGTGGTTTAGTTATTAAACTGATATGTAATTAATTCTCTGTTAATCTTACACACCTAGTTTACTTCAAGCTTATTGGGATGACCTCTCACAAAGTGGCATTGGCATCCAGACACTGAATATCTATGTCATTTAGACTAGCTGATATCTGCATTATAGATACTATGACACATATCAAATTTTTGTAGTGTTAACTGCTATTAAAATTACTTTTCTAAAAATTAACCTGGGGGAAGAAAAGTAGTCATTACTAGGCTTTTTGATTGTTCTCCAGCCCTACTCATAATTTCACCAGTTTTTAGTCTTCTATATATTTTTTGAAATACAGTGCAGTATTGATGAGCAAGTTTTGTATATAATGCTTTTTTCTAATTATGACAGCACATGGTATTTCTTAGAATTCACCTCTATAGACATTAAAAAGTTAAGTATTATAGTTCTTCTCTTTGTATTAACTACTTCTTTAAGATCCCAGAATTTTTAAATTAAATTGGATTTGACTGGGGATGTATCTGTTTCTGAAAATAGTTACATCACAGAGCTTTAATACGATAAATCATGAACTTTGATACCTCTCCTGTTTTTTTTTTTGTGTGTGTGTGTGTGTGTGGTATGCGGGTCTCTCACTGCTGTGGCCTCTCCTGCTACGGAGCACAGGCTCCGGACACGCAGGCTCAGCGGCCATGGCTGACGGGCCCAGCCACTCTGCGGCATGTGGGATCTTCCCGGACCGGGGCACGGACCCGTGTCCCCTGCATCGGCAGGCGGACTCTCAACCACTGCGCCACCAGGGAAGCCCATCCTCTCCTGTTTTAAGTTTAGTACTGAGGCAATCTGTCAAACAGAATATTACAAACTATGTGGGCCTGTGTTCACTTAAGCATGTTTATTGATGAGTCCTGAACTTTGAGCTTTTTGTTTTTTCATTTCATGTGACTTTATTGGAGAGCTTACTAAATTATAACCACTTGTAAAGTTCTTGGCAAGTAAGTATTGCTCTATGGCCAGAGAGTTGTGGAAAACCATGACTCTTAAAATTCTACTCTGGATAAATATGTGAAAGTAGAATTACAAATGGTTAGTGACTCCTGAAATTTTCCACGGAAGAGCTTGCTTGCCCTTATAGCAGAAATGATCTGTACATGTCCATAGAGTTTCATTTCACTTTCTGCTTTTTCTTTGAGCGCTGGAACATTCAAGTAACACAACTCAAATGACCTACTGCTTTTCTGCTTTGGATTTTTGTAAGATTCCAAGTGGTGCAGCAGTGCCATTTTAAGTTCCTTTTAAGATAAAACTAGCATTTTTGTGACATGTGAACATTCCTCACTACTTTTTGTGAGCATGTGAAATTTTCATACAGTAAAACCTCATTAACTTGGATGTCTCTAACTATGCAATTTTGGCCTTTTGTTCTATATATAAAAAGAGAGAGGGCTTCCCCTGGTGGCACAGTGGTTGAGAGTCCGCCTGCCAATGCAGGGGACACGGGTTCGTGCTCCGGTCCAGGAGGATCCCACATGCCGCAGAGCGGCTGGGCCCGTGAGCCATGGCCGCTGAGCCTGCGCATCCGGAGCCTGTGCTCCGCCACGGGAGAGGCCACAACAGTGAGAGGCCCGCGTACTGCAAAAAAAAAAAGAAAAGAGAGAAAGAAATTGTAATTAATGCTGTAAACGGGTCTAAGATATCTGTTTTAAATATAATTTAGAGAATATTTTTCGACTCTTGGCATAGAGTGTGTGATATATAGATAATTTGTATTTATTAAAACTGATATGATAAAACCATGAATTTGTAAGACCTCCATGTCAATATGTGTGCGTATAGCACATAATTTCTTTGCAAAACTATTAATTAATTTTATTTAGCAAAATTCTGGCCTGTACTGTGTAAGGAACAAAACCAGAACTTTTTACTATTGTAGAGTGACCTTTCCTCCAGA